ATATATATATATCTGTTTCATACATCACTTCTAAACTCCAAATAAATGATATTCAGTTGGTATTATGAAGTTGCCTATAAAGTGGCTACTGTAATTATAGCCAATAATTAGGCAAGGCTGTGTGCACCAGGATTGTGGGTTGTACTGTATTTACATCATTTCTACCCCTCCATCTTTCTCCTCCAATTCCTCCCATGTCTCCCCACACTCTGTCAAATTCATGGCCTCTTCTTTAATTATTATTAAGAAAAATTATATTTTCAAAACCATGTCAGCAGTATTCCCCACCAGAGAGTTTCTTCAAATACAAGGGTGTTGATTGCAAGCCTCCATGTTTCAAGAAAACTACATGAAGAGTATGTGTTGAAAGCCTAGGTTTCAAGAGAGAGTGCCAGGTCACCACATGCATTTCAGATCTTGTTTTCCATTTTGAAATGTCATTTTTGAGCATGACTTTTGCTACTTGAGCCAAGTTCTTGGTACTCGTTAGAGAAGATGAATGCTCGTGATGCAGGTGGGGAATGTAGAAGCATAGAAAAAGGAAAATGTTACATGAGGGGGAGGAAAAACAAGCTACACAAGGGTGGTGACCCAAACCCAACTTACAGGACAAAGTTATCCCTCTCCCGAATCATTGGAGATGTGAAGAGATAGGAGATAGTCAGCTAAAGTTTACATCTAGACCTTTGTAATGCTGTGACCCTTTAACACAGCTCCTCATGTTGTGGTGAGACTCAACCATAAAATTACTTTCTTGGGAGCTAGAGAGATGGCTCAGAGGTTAAGAGCACTGGCTGCTCTTCCAGAGGTCCTGAGTTCAATTCCCAGCAACCACAAGGTGGCTCACAACCATCTGTAATGAGTTCTGGTGTCCTCTTCTGGCATGCAGGCATATATGCTGTATACATAATAAATAAATAAACCTTTAAAAAAATTACTTTCTTTGCTACTTCATAACTGTAATTTTGCTACAATTATGGATTGTAATGCAAATATGTGATATACAAGATATCTGATATGTGACTCCCAAACGGGTCACAAGACACAGATTGAGAACCACTGATATAGGTCGAGAAATAACATCATGATATGCTGTAGAAGACCTCTCCACCACAACACCCAAATGTTTCCCCACATTCAGATCACATTTGCTCTCCGGATATTCTCTGAAAACAGTTCTCTACTATATGTCCCAGCCGTTCTTATAGAACCACCTGAGTCCTCAGACGTATCCCGAGGTCTCTGCCACCATGACAGATGTGCCACTTTCTCTCCTGGCTGCGTGTTGGGTCTGTCCTTGGCTGTGCTGAGCTTCAAAGAGCAGAATGCCAAGGAGTACAAGGACCAAGACAGATACCCCCATCCTGACGAGATTCTCCTTTGTGTAATCCTGGGGCTTTGAGACTGGAGATTGTAGAAAAAGAGGTCACAGAGGTCAGGGCAGATGAAAATCACCCCAGGACACTGCTTTCCCCCGGACGGCACTTGATCTTCTGTATTGAGTTCTGTAGCTAAGAATTCTCCTTACTCACCTGTCTGGGGGTCTGACATGTTTGATGATGGCCAGAGGGGCTGAACTGCATCTAAGAACCAATAAAAAAAGTAGGATATAGGGGGCTGGAGAGATGGCTCAGTGATTAAGAACACTGGCTTGCTGGGCAAAGGTGGCGCATGATTTTAGTTCCAGCACTCAGAACCAGAGGCAGGCAAATCTCTGTGAGTTCCAGTCCAACCTGGTCTATAAAGCAAGTTCTAGGAACTTAGAGAAACCTGAGTTTTACACAGGGAAGCCCTGTCTCAAAAAACAAAAATACAAAAAATTTTAAAAAGCACTGGCTGCTCTTCCAGAGGACCCAGATTCAGTTCCCAGCACCCATGTGGCAGCTCACACCAGTTCCAGAGCTTCTGCCTCATGCAGGCAAAACACCAAGGAACATAAAATAAAAATAAACATTATTTTTGGAAAAGTAGGATGTGTGAAATACTTGAGACCCAAATGTTTTTTTCTAGTTCCCAAGTTTTTATTTTCTTCCATTCTCCTTCCCCTGCACCATTATTTTAAGAGAAGGGACATTTTTAAAAAGCCAAGTCATGCCAGGCAATGGTGGCGCACGCCTTTAATCTCAGCACTCAGGAGGCAGAGGAAGGAGGATATCCATTC